GCATGTCGATGCGAACAAGACGGGCTATATTCCCTCGGCGGTCCCTCCCGTTGCTGTGCCGTCATCCGTCTGTTCACCTGTGCCCCTGGCCCTTCACTCCCCGCAAATTGAGACCGGGGGGGTTGGAAGGATTCCGTGGTCTGGGAGGGGAGATGGCAATGTGTGACCTTGGCTTGCCATTAGAAGGGCAGCGTCGACTCTCCGCCTCTACATCTGGGTACATAGGACTTGTGTCGTGTTGGGAGTGGCTTCATGGTTTCACAGCGTGTGAGGCTATCGTGACTTCGGAGGATGGACGGTTATGCGAGGTTCTTATCTGCAATCTTCGTGTGCAACAACAGACACTGACTTGGCGGGGTACCATCATTTTGGGGACGGACGGGCATCCGTCTGCCCTCTCTTTGGCACGTCAACAGACATAACTCAGCTGGCGATATCCCCCTGTCTTGCCGGCCGAATTCCCTCTTTGGGAGCAGCCTGCTTCCGTTGTTGATTCCCCACAAATTGTCTGATGCCGTTGTCTTCTTCCCGGATCTGGTAATAGTACATCTCCCGTGTAGAGATAGGGAAGGCCGCATGCCTGAGTGGGGGGGTTGTGGTCATCTGGGGGCGTGGGGGAGGGGGGGGGGAGGGGAGACAACAAGGGCGTAAGTTGCAAAAAGGGGCATCGGGCACCAGGGACTAGCTAAAATCAACGTTTGACGGATCGGCCGATGGTATGCACTGATACCTCCGGTGGTGATCATGCTACGTCGGGGGGATACTTGCTAGTCGAATCATGCTGGAACGTGGCAAGGTTGAGTAAACATTCCTGGATATGTTGCTTGCTAGGAACAACGAGGGAGGTTGTTGGTTATTGACTACCTCGGTGGATGAGGAGCACCCTTACCGTGATCGTAAAGGGGAGAGAAGACCGGTCGGGTCTGTTACCAGTGCTGCAGCAGTGACTACGACCCTATTCTCCTCGCCCCTTCGCAACTCCATGCCCACATGTTGCTGTTCTGTGCGGAGGAGAAGGTCCGAGAATCAATCCCCTGGCCAACACCGCTCTGTAAGGGGAGGAGGTAACCGCAAAAGTGGCTTCACCGAGCAAAACACCGACCACCACCACACCTCGCCTCCATAAACACGGCCAGCAAGCCGTCTCCGCAATCCCGTTCCACCCCAATATATCTAAGCGGCCCAGACGGGCACGGACCAAACAACCCCACGGCGTAGCTGGGCCGTCGAGGCGAAGCAAGGGCCGAGGCACCGCGTTTTGGCCGCCGAGAACAAACACGAACCGGCGAGTTCTTCGGGATGGGGAGTTGGGTTGTGTACCCCCCGAAACCGAAGTGAGGCGAGGGATTTGTGTTGTGTTTCGGACTAAAGGGGGTTTGGGAGGGGAGGAAGGGTCGAGGCAAGCGAAGGTAGCACGAGGCCGCGTCTGGGACCCGTGGGAAGGATCGAGACGGAGATGTGAATGATGCTGTGCGTGGCACGGGGGGCAACGGCGGAATCCTGTCGTTTTGTTCGCTCGTTCGTTTCGTGCCCCGTGGAAGGAAGGAGGGAGGGATGGGCCGCTTCTCGCCCCCTACCCTTTACCCCCCTACCACTACTACCATCCGCTAGACGCAGCACAGCATCTCGAAAGGACCCTGTCACAACAACATGGACATGGTTGCAGCGCAAAATAAGATAGATATTGCATATTCTGGCGAGGGAGTTTCCAAAACCTGTACCGTTGAAACAGGTCTATGGCATGGCTGCCTGTAGCTATCTCCGCCGATCGTCCACACCAGCAATCCTCACATTGGGGTATTCTTGGCCTGGGTCCAGAAGTTGTCCATCTTCCTGTGGGAGAGGAACTCTCTCGCCTCTCCGTCCGTCTCGCACACCTTGCTACCCCACTTCTTGAAAGCGGGAGCCTTGCTTTCGCCCTCGAAAACCAGCACGCACTTGTTTGCCGACAAGTCCTTTAGTTGGCCGTTCTCATCCTCCCCTTTGAGCCACTCCCGTACCGCGGCGCCCTGCCCCCCTCCCGCCGCAACGGCGGCGGCGGCGTCTTTCTCACGTGACGGCAGCGACTCACTCCAGTCGATGCGGCGGAGCATGAGCTTCTTGTAGTTGTTGACGCTGTGCTCGCCGCCCTCAACGATGACGAGGCTGAACTTGGGGTGCATGATGCACACGCCGCTGAGGCCGTTCTGCGTAGCGTTGATGTTGATCTTGTAGCGGTGTTGCCCATTGGCGAGGCTGCCGATCTTGAACACGACCACGTGGATACCCTTGGCCGCGTCTTTGGCCTGGTTCGCAGCCAGCTTCTCGTGCCTCTCCTCCTTGCTCAGTTTGCGCTCCTCGTTGGCCTGCATGTGCTTGTCGAAGCGGGCGGCGATTTCGCGGTTGACGCGCGCCTCGACGGCCGTCGGATCCTTTACTGCTTCTTCGCCGAGGACGCGCATCAAGTTAGATTTCTTGACTTTCGGCGGCGGGGCTGGCTCAAGGCCTAATCTGATCTTGGCTTGCTTCTCCTTGAGTTCCATCATGCGCCTCTGCCGCCGGAGCTTTTGCTGTTCTTTGGGTGTCAGATACATGGGCTTGGGCGCTGGCGCTAGCTTGTCTTGCGGCGGCTCGATCGCCACGGGGTGCTGAATGTATAGCGTGACGATACTATCCGGCGTGGTAATTTTGAGAGATTGTGGGATGTTGCTGTAGTCTTTCCCGTCAATGAGTCCCTCATCCCACCACTCTAGCTCAGGGGGCGCGTCAACCACAAACGCCTTCTCAACTGCCCGGTCCTCTTCCAACCCTGCTTTGCGAGCTTGCTCAGCAATCCTCCTCTTCATGTCCTCGAGCGCAGCCTGTCTTCGAAGCGCGTTGGCTTGATGGATGTATTTGCCCTTCTGGTTGAAGACAAGCTGTCTCGGTTCCCTCGCCCTGCCTGTTGGCACATTGTTCGTATCGAGATATGGGTTCGTCCGGGTGCCATCCTGTGTTGTCGAGAAACCCAGCGGCTTCCCTCTGGCGGGTTTGCCAGCATCTGGTGCCGAGCGTTGACCCAGGGATGCTCTAAGGGAGTCGCTCGTCTTGACCGGCGCATTGAGGTCGGCGAGAGCGGGGTGTAGGGGAGTATTGAGGCCACCCTTAGCTTTCGCACCACCAACGGCGGCTGCAACACGGGCTTTGAGAGCAGCCATACGGTCGGCAGCCGACTCGGGCTTTTGGATTCTAGAAGCCGAGTCATGGCGGGGGCCCAATCCGCCATGTTGCTGCTGGTTTCGATCCATCGTCAAAGCGCGCGCTGGCTTTTCTCTGCGGACTGAACTTGTCGGGGCAAGGAAGAATAATGCGGTGGTTATCGAGATGTTATATTGTTGAATATGCGCGCGCAACTGATGCCTGTGAGTTGGGAGATGACGCGACACGAGACCTCAAACGCTGCAGGATTAACTTAAACTGACTGCCTGTAACAATGCAGCTTGGCTTTACTTAGCGATGGTGCCAAGCCCGATGTTAAGAAGCACAGACGCCAGCTGAGTGCTGCTGAGTTCCCCACACCGCATAACTGGTGGGGTTCTGCCGAGTCCGACCGCCAAAAAATATTCTCCCTGAAGCTTCGTCTCCAAATCCCCACCAATCACCGACTCGAAAGGCTGCGATTTCGAGAGAGAAGCCCGTTTGTTGCGGCCGAGTTCGACCTCGCAAACCTGCCTTCAAGTCGGCAATCTGTTTGTAGCGACGGCCATACGGCAATGCGACATCAATAAGCCGATTCCCCTTCCGCTTGGCCAGCATGAATATCGCACAACCCGTGGGCTCGTCGCTAGAGAGCGTCGAGTTCACCTTCCTCACTGCCGAAGAGATCCGTTCTATTTCTGTTAAGCGAATCGAAAATGACAGCACCTTTGACAACCTTCTCAATCCGATACCTGGCGGTCTTTACGACCCTGCTCTTGGGTCATGGGGTGACGCTCTGTAAGCCCGTCACCAAACGCGCTCTGTCGACCCAGGACGAGGTGCAAACGGGGGAATGGAACTAACAACATCATGTGTAGGTGCCTTACATGCAACCTGAACCAGGCCCAGTGCCCAGGGCATCCGGGCCACATCGAACTTCCGGTACCCGTCTACCACCCGGTCTTCATGGACCAGGCCTACCGTCTCCTCCGAGCTCAGTGTGTTTACTGCCACCGATTCCGACTTCCCCGGCATGAGATCCACAAGTACACCTGCATGTTCCGCGTGGTGCAGGTTGGACTCATTCACGAGGCGCACATGATTGAATCGTTCTCCGTCAGCGACCTCGGGGAGCAACTCAGGAATCTCACGTTATCCGATGTTCCGAACCCCGAGCAGGATGAGGCGGAGGAGGAGGGAGGCAATCTTCATGACGGCACCATGCGCGCCAGGGAGACATACGTTCGGCAAGTCTTACGGGATCATAGGCTCAAGGTCAACATTGGGCGACATCAGGAAAGGCAAGCACGAGGGTGCGGGCAGAAATTGAGGCGAGCTCTCGTTAAAGAGTTTTCTTGCTCATGATGGTCCAAGGAAAAGCGGTGCAGGAGCTGTGATGGGCATTTCACCTGGTCTACTGCAAGGACCGCTGGGTTAAAATTTTTGAGCGCGATTCTGGAGCCAAAAGGAAAGG